TTATGTTCAGTTTTCACAGAGTTTATTAAGTGTTCAGTTTATCCAGGTTCGGTTTAAAGAGAGTTGACTGTACTCACCCATATAGGTTTTTTAGATGAATATTTTTTTAATTTAATTCTTTGTTTTTCAATATACTTAAAGAGATTTTTATTACAAATTAGACTATTTTAATTTATTAGATTTTTTATTTTATATGCTTAATTTCTTAAATTTGTTAAATTTTAATTAAATTGTCAAAAATAAAATTAATATAAAAAAATCTTAAAATAAATAAATGCTTCTGATATTCCCATTATATTCTTGTTTTTGAATTAAATTTCTTGCAATAGATCAATTTAATTATCCGGAAATTAAAGAAACTCTCAAGTGTATGTTTTAGTTGTGAAGGCTTTTTTATATTCATTTGATTAAATAAACTACCTAGAATTTTGAGATATTCATCTTCAGCTTTTTTAAAACTTACAATAAAAAAAAAATAAAATTTCAGATTGAATGGATTTACGCAATGCAGAATTCTAATCTAGAATTACTCAAAAATTGATTATTTATCATAATGATACGAATTGTTTTTTAAGAAATTTTCAATTACAAATTTACAAATCAATTTAATTAATTAAATATTAATTAACAATAGAAGTAGGCAAATTTGCCTGAAAAACAGTTTAAGAGATAAATGAACTTTAATGGAAGGACTTAAGAGAATATATTATATCTAATAATAGTAATGATGTAATTTAGTAAAACTTCTTGCTTTTATAAGATAAAAAACAAATGTATCATTTTTCATTAACGCTAATACATTAATTTGTAATGACATAATTTGATTGCATATGATGAATGATAAACTATAAATAGGAAATCTGTCGAATCATTTGTGTAATGATTTTTGATTTGAAAAAATTTTTGACACTAAAATAAAATATGAACATGTTTTCAAATCAAATGTGAGAATTATCGTTATGTAAGTATTATATATACAACATTGTAAAATTTAATTAGTTGAACAAATCTAAAAATTTTCTTAATGAATAGTTCAAGAGTTGAAAAAAATGAATACAGGGCCTTCGAAAATCATCAAAATTATTTGAATAAAGCTGGAATTAAAAATGATAATTTTAAGACTTCTACCGTCGATTCAACATCTTAGTCAAAAGAAGATGAACTTGAATTTATAGTTTTTAGGTTTCTTAAAAATACTATGAAGATTGATTGTCAAAGGTAAAATGAGATAATAATCTTATTAAGTAGTTGTTTAGTCATTATACATCTGAAGTTACGCTGCTACTATAATTATATAATAAGCAAAGAACTGGAAGCGTATCGTGGCCCAGGTAGTTATTTTGACTAGAATAACCAGATCTGTGAATGTCCTTCTCTGATTATATATAATTCGAAAAGCTACTTTGTATTTTGCTTACATGACACCATTGATTGACTTCAGGGGCTGTGGTAAATAAGATGCATGGATAAATGCTTTGATATTTAGTCACTCAGAACATTTTATATCCTTGATGATTATGATAACATCTACTTACTTTTTTTTTTTTTTTAACATAGATTGTCAGGACCTTATGGTGATAGAGGTATTGATATTTTTGGAAACTATTTTGGGTACTTAATTTTAGTTCAATGCAAGAACTATGATGAGAAGGTTGATGTCAGTGATATTAGAAAATTTGAGGATGTGTTGTCACGATATCTCAAATGCACTATGCTAGAAATTTTTGCAACATTAGCTGTGGATGGATACACAAAAGTCGCAATCGAAAGGGCAGAAACTTCTAAATTTAATCTGTTATTAACAAATTTATTGAATATACAACAAGATATTCTTGATTATGTCAGTAAAAGATTAGGTAACTTTTCTGCAGATTCCAAAGATCCTGAAGAACGTATAATTGATGAAATAATTGGTAAGATTGACCAAAAAATTCATGCAATAAATGAGAAGGTTGAGATAATAAATAAAAATCAAAGAAAATTTGATAGAATAATAGAAATATATTAATCCAGAGTGAATATAACAAAAAATAATCAAGCCAAAATTTTTATCTTATTAATTGCAATAATTATATTACTATTAATAATTTTAATCAAATAAAAATGAATTTATTATATAAATAATTGTAAACTTATAAATTTTCTTTATACTCACAAAATAAAATAACTAGAAAAAAATAATTTTAAATAATAGCGATAGATATTTATGAACTTGAATCGCTTATTTATATTAATGCAATGGCTTATTTTAAATACTTAGATTAATAAATGCATTTTGTAATTATCTTCTAAATATGGCTTATTTTAAATATTTAGATTAATAAATGTATATGGCTTATTTTAAATAGATTAATAAATGCATTTTGTAATTATCTTCTAAATTAACATGAAATTAGTCAGCAAATATTCAGAATTTAAATTATTTCTTTTATACGTATACTTTGCTACATAAACATTATTAATAAATTAGTAATGACGTAACTTCGTGGTCCTATGAGACCGCCAAATCATATAATCATACAAAGATTCTTCGAAAGTAAAAATTTTGGTCATGAAACATTTCTAGCTAAAGTATAAAAATAAAATGATACCAGTATATAATAACGGATATTAAATGAAAGATATTATATACACTTTTTTAGTTATCATTTGTATTTATTTGAACTACGTTAGATTCGCTAACTTTTTTTTGGGTTTCTGATTTGGATTTGATTGGATGGCTTTGCTTATTTGGTATATATCATAATTTTTTAATTCAAATATAGCATTAATTATTTTTATATTTCTATATTTACAGCCTTCAGAATTGGGATCTTATGATTGTTTACTTCTTTTGTCTTATGTCATCTAATTTTATTTGAATCAGTTAATTCAAAAATTGAAATATGGTTGACACAATAATAGATGGTGGATGACCTATTGGTTGTTTTCAGCCCAAATTTGGACCGAAATCAGAATTCATTAAAAATATACAAATTGTAATTGCTCCAATTCCTCAGTATTAATTTTCTTTTAATAAAGGTTGAGCCAGATAAATTCTATACTTCATTTTTTTAATAGTGTATACAACTGTGGAAACACTGGTACAGAAAATTGTCTTTGGATTATCAATTAGACCTTTGATCGAAGTTTTGTTACTATAAATTCTATTTTTTTATTATTTTTGCTTTCTTCATATAGTTAATATTTTTTTTTACATTTTACAGCTATGAAGACATGGCAAATGTCTACAAACAAAGTTTTGTATTGTTTGGTCCTGTTGCAATATTACCTTTATTAACCAACAAAAAGATATAGTATTTATTTTAAGAATTGTGAAATTCGTTAATACTGGGTTGTTTTCTTATTACATTGGATAGTTCTGTTTTTCCAGTATATATAATCAACATCAATCGAGATTTGAATATGCTTGGCTCAAGTGTAGAACTAAATAATTTTTGTATCTTTCAATTCTTCTATTTTCTTATTCAGTTCATCTATTTTTCACGCTTTTCTTTTCTCAATTTATCGATTGTTAACAGCAAATTACTCTCGACTTGATTTCTAGCAGCGATTGTTTCGTTAATTTCTATTTTTAGTTTTTTAATTTCTTCTTCATTTTTCACCTTCTCATATTGTAACTTGGCAAGTTCTTTTTGTAGAACAGAGTACTTTAATGTGAGATCTATTAGTATTTT